GGGCGGGAGGTCGACTGGGGCGCCCTGACCCAGTGTTTCCTTGCGCCCCTTCCCTGGTGGCTCAGCACGGGGGGATGCGGCCTTCTCCCCGCCTGCGCCCCCCTTGCCCATCCTCCGGAGTGCACATCAGCCCCCTCCGTGGACGTCAGTACTTCGGGGGCCTGGCCTCCAGCCGCTGCGGAGCCCTTGCCTCCAGAGCACCTCCCAGGTCCCCCCCGGGGCAGTGGGAGGGCGCTCTCGGGGGCAGTGTGTACGTGCGGCCCCACCCCTGTGTGTTCGGGCGTCACGACGGCCTGTGTGAACAGGCGTGTGCGCTGAAGTGCCGGGGTGCCCAGACGCCACGAGGAAGCGAAGGGGCATAGCGAGGGGCACGGGGCGCGGAGGCCCAGCCGGTGGGTCAGGGAGGCCTCCGGGGGTCACAGAGTCGGGGTGCAGGCGGATGGAGCTGACAGGCATGGGGGGCCGGGGCAGTGCCCTGGGTGGGGGGCCGCCCTCTGGGCTGAGGAGAAGAGGTGAGAAGTCCCCAGGCTCCACCCAGAAGGCTGGTGTTACGAGGGTCTGGGGGCCCAACACACAGGCGTGGCCAGGGGACACGGGGAGTGGGGCAGGAAGCTGGGAGGCGATGGATAGGGGTGTCAGGAGGACGGGGTGCTGGTTCTGCTCACAGCTCTTCTGAGCTGGGGTGTGGCCCCCAACCGAGGCCCCAAGGCCCCAGGGCCTCTGGGCTGCCCGCACCCTTGTTGGCCCTGGTCGGGTCCACTGGGGTCAGCCAGCCCCATGCAGGGCGGGCCCTGGGCTGAGGGGGCCTTGACCCAGGAACCAGGAGAGCTTCCACCCCTGCAGACCCCTACGTGCACACTCACAGGTGCGCCCTCCCACACACGCACCCCTGCACGCACACACGTGGGCCTGTGCCCGGCGTTGGGTCTCTGAGGAGAGCTCCAACCCTCTGGCACTGGGGCGGATTCTCCAGGGCCCCAAAGGGGTGCAGTGCCGTGGGTGGCCTGCACTGGCCTGCCTGCGAGTCTTACCACGGGCTAGAGTGTCCACCGGACCTGGGGCGGGAGGTCACCCGGGTGTGTGGGTCCCCAGGTCCCTCGGGCTGCAGTGACCACAGGTTCACCCCCGTGGTCACCACGTGGACGTGCAGACCAGGGAGGAACCGGGGACTCCACTCGCCCTTCCCCCCAAATGACAGCGTCCACTCCTCCGTGTCCACGCTGCCATCGTCCAGCGGAGGAATTTCAAACCTCTGGAAACATGGACTCCGTTGGGCTCTGGCTCAGCCCTGCCAAGGTTGTCCATCTGCGCACATGGTTCCTCGGAGCCTTCCCCACTCCCTTGCCGTGGACTGTCGCCCTGCATGTGCCGGCGTGTCCTGGTCTTGCCTGCAGAGCACGTGCTGGTCACCACCTGTCAGCAGGTTGCCCTGCGTCCACAGCGATGGCGTTGTCCCCTCAGGGCCCCCTTGGTCCCTGGGGCCGTCAGGACGAGGGGGTGGGGCTGCTCGTCTATGGTGGGGGGACCCCTGCCCAGGGTCCACGGAGCCGGTGACCCTTGGGCTCCTGGCCGGCCTCCTGTGCACAGGTGAGGAGACTGAGGCCAGAGAGAGGCGCGGGGCTTCCGAGCCCAGGAGACCCGTGGCTCAGCCTCCTGATGCCTCCTTTGTCTTCCAGATCCAGACTGGGCCTCCTACACCCTGGGGGTGTTCATCTGCCTGAGCTGCTCCGGAATCCACCGGAACATCCCCCAGGTCAGCAAGGTGAAGTCGGTCCGCCTGGACGCCTGGGAGGAAGCCCAAGTGGAGGTAGCAGGGGCGGGGGCGTGGGGTGGGGGATGGGCTGGGCCACAGCAGCCAGAAGGTCCCTTCATCCCTGGGGCCCCGGGAAGGCCTGGGCTGGTAGGACCTGAGACAGGATGGAGGCCCAGGGGCCGGCGTCTGGACCGCGGCCCTGCTGTGCAGCCCCAGCCGGTGCGTCCAGCCCCAAGACTGCCTCTTTCCCCGCTCCCTTCGGGGCAGCTGCAGAGGGAATGAGTGAGAGCCGAGCTCACCACAGGCAGCTCCTGCAGCTCCGGCCCGCATCCCGGCACCTGGGACGCTCTGGCGCCCGGGGGACCCCACATGGAGCAGCTCTGAAGGGGGCCTGCCCTCTCGTTTTTAGCGTTTTATTGCTAACTGTGTGGAGAGTCACAGGAGGTAACAAAAATTAGGCCCTTCCCTCATCCATCCATCTGTCCACTCACCCATCCAAACCTGACCCACGTTTCTCGCACACTTGTTGTGGGAGTCCTGCTGAGCTGCCTCCCCTGGGGAAGGCCTTGGGGCGGGGACGCAGGTTGTAGACACACGGGCAGGATGGTGCTGGGCAGCGGTGGCAGGCAGGGCCACACAGCCTGACTGACATGGAGAGGGAAGTGGGCAGAGCCTGGAGGAGCGAGCGCCAGACAGGAACGTGGCCGTGGGGACCACCCAGGTGGGGCCTGAGCCCCAGTGGAGGCTGTGGGGAGACGGGCAAGGCCCCTGGCTGCTCGGATTCGTCTGCGGGGTCCAGGGGTCAGGGTGGTGGGGACGGCCCAGTGGGACAGCCCAGTGTCTTGGATGGGGGCTGCTGTGGGGCTTGGGGGTCCAAGGTTGGTGGCCCCAAGCTCACCGCCGGGAGGTGACAGTTTGCTGCTCTCAGTGTAGCCTGGTGGCGTCGGCCTCCCCAGGGAGCATAGCAGAAATGCAGGGTCCTGGGCCCACCCGGGCCTGCTGCCGAGCCAGACTCTGCCCTGCAGGCCAGCTAGCCGCGTCGAGCACTTGCAGCGTGCGGCTGGAAACACACTCCACCCGTGGTCAGACGGCCCCTTGGTGCCGCCTGCGGAGGTTCTGGGGCTCGGGGCAGGAACGCTGTGCTGGGTGTGACACCCTTTGTCGAGGGAGGGAGGGGGCCCAGACACGGGTGTGACCAGGAAAACCTCTGGCTTCACCTGCGAAGGCT